TGGTGGCTTCAAATTGTCCCATTCTTGCTGATGTATGGAGGGCGGTCTCGCCCCAGGAAGACTTGCGCCCTGTGTCGGCGCCTCGCAGGATGAGAAGCTCTATCATCCTCGAGTGGCCACCTTTTACGGCCGACCAGAGGGCGGACCCTCCATCCGCGCCGCTTTCGTTGATGGGACAGCCCGAGTCGAGAAGGTACCTCGCAACCTGGTGATACCCATTTTGGGCTGCTGAAATTAGAGCCTTGGCCTTTTGCGAACTTTTGTAGTGGCCAACGAGTGCTTTGACAGCTTCCAGATGCCCTCCTGCACAAGCGGCGGCAAGGGGCACATGGCCCCAGCTGTCCTCTGATGCGAGATCAGAGGAGGCGCGAGTGAGGACCTCAATGGCATCTGTGTGACCTCGATAGCAGGCAACGTGCAGAGGATTTGCTTGACTTCGGCGGTTGCATTGGTTTGTCACGGCACCTTTGGCAATGAGCTCTTTTATGAGATCGGTCCTCCCCGCTCTCGCAGCAAAATGTAGTGCTGTCCTGGCCCAGTTTTCTATGATATTAGGATCCGCGCCACGCTCAAGGAGGAGTTTTGCCACTTCGCAAAGATCTCTGACGGCGGCGGTGACAAGAACCGTGGCGCCCTGCAAATTGGCCATGTCTAGAGGTGCTATGGGGCTGTCATCCTCCAGTGCTGGTGGAGATGCTTCGGTGCACTCAGCATCTGATATACTGATCGAGAGCTCGTCATGACAGGATTCGCTGGTAGCGAAGAGTTCAGCGTTGCTGAGGGCACCCTGGCTAGTCGATCGCGGCCTGATCGTTTGTTCATGCTCGAGAAGCCCGCGTTCCTCTGTAGCGGCGGGGAAATACTCGATAATCAGCTCTGCCACGCGCGAATGACCCTGCTGGATCGCAAGGTGCAGCGCGAAGTCACCATTTTGGTCAGCTGCTGTAACATCAACACCGTCATCCAGCAGGGCCTTAGTTGTCTTGAAATGACCGTACAAGGCGGCAGCGTGGAGGGCCGTCTGTTCGTCTTCGCCATCACTGCTGTCCTTGTGAGCCCCGCTAAGGACGAGAAACTGCGCAATGGCCTTGAAGCCGCGGGAGCTGCTAATGAATAGCGGACTATGGCCATCAGAAGAAAGGGCATCAAGACAAAAGCCGGCCTCGCAGACTTCTATCATGCACCGCAGATTCCCGTGGTAAGCAGCGCGGTGAATCCGAGTCCACAAACGACGAGTACAACCGGACTTCTGATTTGGCACAGCTAGTTTCTCCTTCAAGCTGTGACTGTTGAGAATTTCTTTAAGTGTTTCCTCGTCACCATATTCCACCGCTCTGTCCAGCGCGTCCGAGAACCAAGACTGCTGCCCCTCCCATGTGCTCATAGCCAGGAGATCCCCACGAATGTTGTGCGATGTAACGGTGTTGCATAATACCTGAGCGGTTAGCTGGGCCTCGGCCATTATCTGCCAGTACTGATCTTTGAGAACTGATAAAGCTCTGGCTTTGATCTCTTCATGCAGCTCACCAGATGTCGCGGCGAGAGCTCTTGCAATCGCCTCTGGCTCTATGACATCCAATTTTGTGACTAGGGAACCAACAACGGCTTTGTCACCAAGCTCAGAAGCATGGATCAGAAGTCTCCCAGGCCAAGACAGGGGGGACAGACGGCTGGCAAGTTGGTAATGGGTCTCCAGATCCTCCAGTTTGTCCAGATTCAAAGAATTTTGTATCACTTCGAAGCCACTAAAAACGACATCAGTTCTCTTCTCGGGTGGAGCAGAAAGAATCTGTATGAGGTAGAGCCACCGATGCAAATTCGCGTGGTCCTTTACAAAAGACACAAATGGCTCTGATTCTTGGTTGTTGAGGGGGCGATCGCTCGTGATACCTGAGCGATAGTGAACCATCCAGTTCCGTGCGGCATACTCCGTCAGAGTGCGTTGAGGAGTTGGCCTTTCATCAATCACTACCTCGCCATCGTTTGCTTGGCTGGAAGAGATGTCCTGGTCCGCGCTGGACTTTTCTCCATTCTCTTCGCTGCCATCTTCCGAGTTATACGCTGCTCCGCGTTTGGGCGGGTTGAAGATATATGTTACCAGAAAGGCGGTGCACGACTGAGCGATATGCTGATGGGGACAAGAATTTGAACCAAAATACATCGATGAGAATCCCGATAAGAGTTGCTGCATCTGGTAATAGGGGGTGCGAAGGAGAACATGGCCCAATTGGATTTCGGTAGTCTCCGATATACCCTGGAGTAACCGGAGTGCCAGTCCGTGTTGAATGTTGATCACTGATTCAGCCTCATCAAGGGCGAGGATCAAGTCTAATTCGTCCAAAGCCAGCGGTCGCATCGCAAACGCGATCCATGTGAGCATGACGAACGTTGGCCTTCCAAATGTCGGAACACGTAGCGACAGAATTTGTAAAGGCAATCCATCTGAGTTGAGTGATGGATCGGGGTGCTCTGTACAGGCCCCCACGTCTTCAGGTTTCAGATCTAGGGCAACTTGCCCTGTGCTGTCAATGTGCAAGTTGATGTCATCGTTGAAGGTGACGACCAGTCTGCACATGGAGTCTGTATCCCGTTGGCATGAGAAGATTTTCTGTAGGGCCTTCAGGCATGTTGGGGTCTTGATAGGTAGGAACCCGTAGGTGGGGATTCCGATCGGCGCGTGTATAGCATTCCTCAAGCATACCCAAAGGCATCTTTCCTTCCACGACTTGGTGTGGCTACTGGCAGCATCGATGAGTATGGGCATCAAATGCTGAATGTGCAAAAACACCCGTGGTTGCTGTGCGGTGATTTGTTTCAGAAGGTAGAGGTAGATATCCGCTTCTCCAAGGTCATCGTGAGTGTTGATGATTGGGCATGAATTCCACATTGCCTTGTGACATTGATGAATAAGTCTGGCAATCGAGGTCAGGACTTTGGATGAATCTGTTTGGGCTTCCAAGCGAACTTTTGCGAATGTGTGAGGAGTCTTGGCTGCTATCCAATCTACCAGTCTGGAGTCGTTGAAACATGGCATGCGGGTGTCGGAGAAAAGGGATCGAAATTGGCCTAAACGGTCAATTCTGGATTTCGAGGAGGCAGAATCAAGCACAGCCATGAAGTATTTGAAATTAGCCCAATGTGCTGGCAAGTAAAGCATCGTTAACGCTTCCTTCACGGCTCCGGGGCACAATAATCGGAAGACCTTTAGGAATACGTACCAATCTTGGCATTAATCAAGTGAATCTGCAGCATATTCTCCTCGTCACGAGTCATAAAACGACTCAGACCATGGTAGATACGATTTCTGCCGATTTTGATTTCGTTGTCGAGGCCTAATGTGGCAGAAGCTTCCGGGGCGACCTACATGTTGCTTGAGTTAGTGTTGCACTCGCTCTGGAATTTCTAACTACTTAAGTAGGCCGATGGCAGTCCGATAGTGTCAACGTGGGTAGTAGCTTACCATGTTGTAAGTCGTTGGAGACGGTGGTGGTGTTTGATAATAGCTTATTATGTTGAACATATGGGAAATGAAGCTAAATCTTTCATCAACACGCTCTAGGTGTCTAGCTGCTTTGTTCACTACCGACGGGACCCACTCGCCAAAGACTCCGTGATAGCACTCTTCCATGACACTGAGGATGGCTGAGTCCAGACTGCTCAGGTGTGAAGCGCGATGCGGGGTTCCGAAGAAAATCTGGAAAACATAAATCAGTACAAGAGGCTTGGGTGATGGACAGCTGAAACGCACAACCGTGTGTGTTCTGTCAAGAATGTGCCGATACTTTGATTCTTGGGCAGCGATGGTGAGAGCCTTTGCAATCAGCTGACTCTGCAGTGTCCAGTCCTCGTAGACTCTATCAGAAAGGGCATACCAGCTTCACAACCGCGCCAGCTATATCGTTGGCCCACAAGGCGAACAGCGTGTCAGCGTCCTGGACATCGTCAGACTATTATCAGAAGTAACGACGCTAGTCAGTATTCGGGGATGACTTCGCACTACATCATTGAGGTCAATCAACAACTTCCTCGCTTTTTCTTCGTGGAAAGCTTCAGAAAAGTGTTTTCCAAGAAGAAGAGATTCGGAGCCAGCACCAAAACAGATTGTCCGATAGTCGTCACCTGGAGGCAGCCAGTTCATCTTCCATAAAGGACTATCATCGTGTTCCGGGCTAACAAATCCATAGACCCTGATAATGCTAGTGTATTTGAGTCAGTGCGAACGAGCAATAAAGTTTTCTGGATAATGAGCAAGGTCGTTTCTCACCAGGACTTAGGCGGCTTTTTCGGCGAAGCCTGCTCAGCAACCACACATGCGGGAGCGAGCACAGGAGGCGGCGTCACGATGTTCATAGTAGGCGTTACCATCAGGCATTCAGATCCAATTTCTCGTCGTTCGCCTCGTCTTGCTGAGGCCGTCGTGGTGATGTGGTGGATAATGTCTTCAGATGATAGACCGGTGGGTTGAACAAGTGATGGCTAGAGGGGCACAATTGAAAAAGAGAAGCGCAGCTTCTTCAGCGAGGTTCATGATAGCCTGACCCGGGAGTGGCATCAGTGAGTGAGCGATATGCGAGGAAGATAGAATTCGAGTTCATGCATGTGGGCGGGGGCACGGGCAACCACTGTGTGACCAAGCTAACTAGTTTCGATGCCTGGCGCCGGTGGAATATACACTTGTGTAACAGAGAGGAATGAACCCAGGAGCCTGCTGAAGTACCTGACTATTGATTCTTGGCGGCGAGATCATCTACACGAGCACACCTGCATGCAGGGATAGGTCAGCGGACTGGCGGCGGTGGCTTATCTGAGACGATGGTGATGCGGTTACAACAGCTCTCAACCGCTCACCGGCCGAAGTACTCACATGTCCTTGCATTTCAACACGGGAATCTTGCCTCAAAAACCTTGTTGGGTCATTTCGTGAGCCCAATGAAAGATTCGTCGACTTCTAACTCACCTGACAACTCCAAGCATCGCGAAACCCCAATTCTCCGTGCGCTATGGCGTCCAGTGTTCAGTACACAATCAACCTTGATGTCGGCGATGAGTTACCAGGATCTGATCAGAACTACCATGAGGGAGAGATGCTTTCTGAGGAAGATGCAAGTCTTCCTTACCAAGAAGATGAGGAACACAGCAACTGGGACCACGACACAGTAGATGAACGAGATCCAGAACGCGATATCGCGGGGGCTAGATTGACATTGGTGGACAGGATAAACAGTGACACTCAAACGAAATGGGAGAATGAAGCATCTTGGAACACACAACCGGGCTATGAGGAGTACCGCACCGACATCAAGGCTCTGCTTCGAATCGAGCGGGACTGCCTCGCGAGCACGTCGTCGGACACATCCCCTCCTAACTTTCTTCAGCATGTGCTCGAACAGGAAAATGCTCTATCATTCTACCCACATTCTGTGAGACTGCAGAAGATCAAATTTCTCCTTAAGCTCATCGTAGAGCTCGACCCATCTCAGCTGAGCCCCAAGTATGGTTTGCGCCCACTCCATGCCGCCGTTGACGTCGACATCAAAATTTTCAAACAAGGCAAATCGAGGGTGAAGCCTGATATAACTATCTACATGTGCCACCTGATGAAGGACCAAGCAGCCGACGAAATTTGCCGAATGAACAAACATAATCAGAACATCCTTCACCTTGCTATATTGCATGATCTCAGAGGTGTCGAGGATCTGATAAGAAAGGCCAATCCGAAAGCTTTCACAACACAAAAGCGCTCCGAAGCGGCCGACGATGGCAACACACCTCTTCATGACGCCCTCGAAGCTAGGTACTTCATCCGGCAAGTGGCTGCCTGCCCCATACCTGCGGAAACGAGTTCTGCTTCAACGGCCGGATCAGATCTCAGGAGGCCGAGCATCACGCAACGGCCTGTTACTACTGGCCAAGTCCCTAGCACCTCTACATTTCACCCAGTGCAGCCAAAATACGTCAGTAACCAAGTCAGGACACGATCCGTCGTGGCGCCCGCGTTACAGGGCAAACAGCCACAAAGGTTGCGTGCCACTGCCTGCAAGATCTGCGTGGACACCCGAACGCAAAATGATGCTGCAGTGAAGAAGAAGAAAGGCATCATTAAACTTCTTCTGGAACAGACAGGAGGAAAAAACGCCCTTACAATTCACAATTCGGCCGGACTGTCGCCGTATCTCTATCTTTACGCCTCTTACCGAAGTTGGGTCGAGCAACAACGTACAAAAAGCTCATCTGCGGGGGACTCTCCGAGTACTCCACCTCCGCAGATCAATGTCATGGCCGAGGAAGCGCCAGTGGAGAAACGGCCAGGAAAAGAAGGAAGCGAGCGCAAGAGCAAAAGTGCCAATGAAAAGAACGACGACTCGGAGGCAAAAAGAATTGAAGCAGAGGAAAAGGAGAAGAAGTTGAAAGCCCAACGGGTGGATTCTTCGAGCCGAAGACACGGTGAGGGTGTCGTGAAAAGTGTTGGCCAGGGCAATAAGAATGCTGGAGGCATCAGGGAGCCAGTGAGGAATAATTTCCAAGCTAGATCACATATCAGAGCGGAACTGAGAGAAGAGGACATCGGTTGCGAAGATATACTCAAACAACTGCGGGAATTCTCCTTCCAATTGGGTGGCTACAAGAAGGCGTGCGAGTGCTTATTTCGCAACCAAACCCTTAAGGGGCACTCCCCATTTGCCGGTGAGCTACCTAACCGTCTCTAAACATTTGATAAACTCTCAATTGGAACAACACAGGTTCATGTGACGCTTCAATCATCTCACAGTACTAACCCAAATCGTGCTTCTAGGCGAGCTACGGTGGTTCAGTCTTGAGGGAACTCAGCGTGTCACGTCAAGCACAACCAATGATTTCGATTTTTTGAATTTCGAGCCCATGATGTCTTCAGTCGTCCTCAGCATGGAGTACACACAGGAAATGTTGGAGACTCTGCCGAACATGGCACAAGACAAGATCACAATGTGGGCCCAAGACGAGGAAAACCTGAAGCAAGTGTTTGAGTGGTTAAAGGAGACAAAGGGAGTCAAAACTATCCTAAGTCTTGTAGTCAAAGATAATCCTCATCACTACTGCTCCGACAATACAGTTGAGGAATGCTTGAAGGGCCTCGAGGTCATATACTTGAACTGGAACCGACCAGATCTTTGCGCCAACAAGTACACGCTGCCGCCAACTCTGGTTGAGATTTCTCTGTATTGGACTGGATTGAACTCAGTACTATGGAGTTGGTCTGATACGGAAGGGCTTCGCACGTTAGCAAAGGTAAGAACCCCTCCCAACTCTGAGTTGGTATCATGCAAATTAATCCAGCCACCTTATAGCTGCAGCGGGTCTACCTCTCCGTCCAAAGAGTATGCGTTCCAGGCCTTCATACAACATAGATTTGCTAATCAAAATATAGGGCACTGACCTGGAGAATAAATCGAGGAAGGCAAAGGTGGATGCATTTCAGGACCGTGTGAACAAATGGGCGAAAAGGAAGCACTTCAAGTTCATCGAGGTCCGCTATGACGATATGGGATACAAGGGCAGTGGCAAAACCGGTGGATTGAATAGCTTGTCAACTCGGTTCGTACACCGTTGCTCAACCCAATCCACCCTCAAGCTCTTTTTATGCCGCTGCGGAGTAGTTGTCGTTATCCTACTAATTGCTTTTGCCCTGCTACAGAATTCATCCATGGCGAAGTGACGTGTCAGGATTTCGAGACAAGCTCTTAACCCTCTGTTACGATGAGAAATCTCGTTCCAATCGTCCAATTCACGTCAAAGTCGCACTTCTTGACGATGGAGTAGATCCCACGTATAAGAGAAATGGCGAGTATATGCATCATACCGGGTGGCCGCCTGTGGATTCAGGAGAGCCGGAAGAAGGGTCGGGGAGTTTCTATGTGTCCACCAACCAGCATGGCAGCAAGATGGCATGGTTGATACGTCAGGTCTGCCCATACGTCACCATCTATGTGGCCAAACTTGATGTCAACATTGGCGAAGGCCTAAGACAGCGGTCTTTCAGTCTGCGTCAGGCCACAAAGGTAAGTAGCTGACGCCTCGCCCCATGTACTCCTCTGTGGCTATCTAGGTGCCCTAAACCCAGAACCGGGCCATTTTCAAACCTGAAAAGCGCATATAGTAGTTCGCATACTAATCTGTTGAGTCGAGAAGGCCATCAATTGGGCCAAAGACCAGAAGGTAGACATAATTTCGATGAGCTGGAACGCACGCCGTGTCTCCCCAGCGACCGGGATCGCGAACGACTCTGATATTCACGATCTTGAGCAGGCTATTGCTGGTGCGCACGCCGCGAATATTCTCATGTTTGGGGCGGCGTGCGATGTGAAACAAAGTTCGTCATCAGACGAATGGATACCATGCGACAACTCAAAAGTGTTCAGTATCGGCGCCACCGACACGGAATTCGACGTGAAGAAATATGTGGACATGACCAAAACTGTCAATTTCCTCTTTCCCGGCGAGTATGTCCTTGGCCAGTCCGAGGAGGCTGAGGTGGGAAACTCAGGCGCGACGGCTCTGGCTACAGGGCTTGCTGCCTTGGTCCTCTTTTGCATGCTTTTTGAGCATGAACCTCTTCCGGCCAACAGGCACGCTTGGATGAACAACATCTTCTCCAAGGTGTTTGATGGTGAGACCAACAAAAAGGTGGTACATGTGAAGAAAGTGCTGCGCATGGACGATGAAGGGAGCCTACGGCTTCTTGTGCAGAAGTTTGTTTCCCAAAAGGATTGACTTTCAGAGAGGCGCATGGCTGGCAGAGTATGATGCTTTTCTGAGAATACGGCTGACCCCTATCCATTCTTTGAGTAGCTACATGTCATATTGAGATTTATAATCACAGTTCAAAGTTGAGGCTCTCCTCCTCCGCAAGCTCGGTTGCTAGTTGTGTATCATCTGCTTTAGAATCACCTATTTGTGCCACTCTCAACTGCTCATCGCCATCAACGACTAAGAACTGGGTTAAATCCACGTCGCCAAGTTTGCGTTGATCGCATGGACTATGCTGGTTGCTCAAGCCATCCTTCCTACCGTACAGCACTGCAGCGCCGTGGGTGACTCCCGGAAGCGGTCGAGTATCGAAGTAGACCGGGTCGTTCTTGGGAACTGAGCCTACAGCCTTGCGTAGCATCTCAGCTGCATCAGCCAGAACCGAGATGTGGACGCTTGTGTTGATGGTGGCGCTGAAAATTCCGCTGTCACCGGTGGTACGCTGCAGGAGTACGGCGGTGCGAACGATGTGTGGCACACCGCTCTCTTGTGGAACGTTCTCTTGCAGAGTCCAGTGCACCGAGTTGGGTTCTCCATACCTCTTCTTGACGAATGCCGGATAGCCGGCCATGAAACGGTAGTCGGTGCGCTCCGTCGTCTCGGTCTGCTTCCGGGAGGCCTCGGGCGTGACAGCCGCAAAGGGTTCGTAGCCGACTCGCATGGATGCTTTGACTGAATTCTCGCTCGTTACTTTCCGGCCAGTAGTGTATGACTTGATGGACACGTTGGGCGCGACGGCTCGCACCTGCGGCGTGCACTCGGACAGGTCATCTTCCGACGAGGTGCCGGGCTTCCGGCCGTCAGGGGCAAAAGTAACATCGATCTCGACCTCGCGAAATCGCTGGCCCGTCTTTCCTGGCACAAGTAGCCATTCAAACACGATCAGCGTCGCCGGTACACTGTTCCCTTCACCCAAGCTGCCGTGAACAACATGGAAAAGCCGGCCGCGGACAGCTGTCGCATTGGGCCGGTCATACCCGGTGAGATGAACACGATGCATCTCGCCCTTGGGGTGATTTTTGATTCTGAATCCTGCATCATCGGCGTCATCGGCGATGAGAGGCATGCAAATATCCCACTCTGCGAAGGGGTCTTTTCCGTCTAGGTTGGTCATTTTTGATGAATGGAATTGATCTATCACGATCAGATATTAGATCAGGGTTGTAGAGGTGGCGTAGAGAATAGGCTTCTGTGGTTTCCTGGAGCGGACCTAGGACCGTGACTACTATCTCTGCCAGAGCACGTAGTCAGGCTGGGATGTCAGCAAGCCTCCGGGCTTACTGGCCCGAACACACAGGTTGTGATCGGTCACATTGCTATATGCGGCACGACTTTGCCGCCACAGCTGAAAAACACGAAAAACAATGCTCACGCGCGTCAAGCCTCTTACCAATATTATCATTATCAGACAGCTTAGATTGGCTCACTACATACACCCTCTCAATTTAAAACAATGCTATTCTTGGCGCATGGTAAATCAGGCTTTGAGAGCATGCGTGAAAGTCTTGGTTTCCCAGCCTTGTGTCGGATAAGCACGAGAATAGTACACAATAAAGGCTCCGCCATTTTCTCACATGTAGGCATAGAATCGGGTTCTTGGCATCGGCGGGAGTAAGTGTGCCGTGCGAATAGGAAGACCTGCCACGGAACATGTCTCAGTTCTGTACCACCTTGTGAAGATACAGAAGTGAATACGAAAGAAGCCAGCCACGGCAGCAGTCGCCTCACTCACTTTCCGCCCATTCCGAACGTCCTAATGACCTACACCGCACTTTCATTTCGGAATCAATTAATTCGTTGCTCCCTTTCCTAATGGGATCAATATTTCATCAATACAAATTAAATTATTTTGATAGTTTTGTAAATCGGATATATCCCTGCTTTACTTTCGGGGGTTGACAATTTTGCAACTTAGGAAGCACAGAATCAGGCTTTCGCCAGTAACGCAGGTTTGACATTATGGTCGTCAACGTACTTGCATTAAATTGCTGCGAACTTATCTAAGGATGTGATTTGGAAGAGAGCTCATGCAAACTGAGAAACAGCCCAGCTGTAGGACAAGCAATTCGCTTGAGGGCATCTATAAGCCAACAGAGGAACAAACTCGTGATTAACATTATACTCCGTGAGAAAAAAAGTTACGAACAGAGAAAGAAAGGTCAAATTTGCACCCATGAAATTTGATTCTCATACCCTGAGCCTTAGAGACTGCAGAGCTGAGGACTCCTCCATCATGCCGCATAGCTCCGGAGACTCCATTTAGGACGGGGAGATGAGTTTTTCGTCCAGCATTACAACGGTTTCCTAGGCAATGAGGGTTCTCTTTCTAACTACCAGTCGCTTCCATATGATTTCGGATAAGACATTAGGGTAGCGGGCTTCTTGATGTGCAATCAATTTATACGTAGTATTCTTTACAGCACATCCTTAATACATCTAAGTCTTTCATGTAATTCTGTTTCTTGACAATATATCACAGCTTTGTTAAGTCATTCTCTTAATAGCTACTCCAGACCTGTAGTCCCGTCTTTTCAGAGCTTCACGCGAGGCCTTTAGTTGTCGGCATTGACCTGACGATGGCCGAGAGAATTGAGGGGCGCTGGAGAAGCTCTCATGAAATCATAGCCTCCCCATTGAATACGTTATGTATAGTCAGCCGGAACATAGTGATGTACTATAGGCAGGCTTTTGCGTTCAAAAATAATGGCCGACTTTCTTGAGATACTGCGCTGAATCTCCCGAGTTGATAGATAGAACCCCATATTCCAAACCTTTTGATGATGGCAACAATCATCAACTTGGCCTCGAGCACCAGTATTCTATCGAAGTCCATAATTAATACTGACTCTGAAAGCTTTTCTTTGTTCTCTTTCGCACCGAGTGTGAGCTCACACCTATTGTCTGGACATTCCCATCGTTGGCACTGCATCTTGAATAACATTGTGAACAGTCCAAGACTAATGTGCTGGGAACGGGGAATAATGCTACGGATCTCTTGCCAGCTCCCTACCACTCCTACGAGGCTATTGGAACGCGCGTAGTCACTGCCGCCAATCCGACGCACATGCCGTCTTTCGGAACGAGCGAATTACCTCCCAAGATCTCCACATTCGTTGGAGCCGGGGCCGATCTGCCCAGGGAAGGATTTAGCGTACTGATCTTCTTCACACTGAAGATCTCCACTTCTAATCATTGTAAAGGGTAGAAACTGTTCAATATATGAGGAACGTGTGCATCCGGTTGTAATCAGACAACCCCAAAAGCAATGGACATGATGTCAGAAGTTGCGAGGAAGGCACAGAAGGCTAGCACAGGCGAAGGTTTGGAGGCCGGATGAGAGGCGTGGCCAAACGCTGAAAGAGAAAGCAAACGCCACTATGTCCCAAGGGTGACGTGCTCGAGCGCGCGAAGCACTCCACGTCGTGATGAATCTGCAAATACAGATTGACGCCGGCAAGACCTGGCACCTTCGAAAGTCGAACACGGAGATGGTAAATTGGAGTCACTCGAAGACGAATGACATTACAAAGTAGCCAAACCGTCCAGCAGCTCCTGAGCCGGTCATTATGTTGCATTTTGACGGCGTGAATCGTGCAAGTGTTGGTGATGTCCGTAGTGTTGGTTGTTGTTCTACCCGACTATCAAGTCTACCGTGTATTACGCGAGCACGACAACTCGTAAAGCCGAGAGTTTTGCAGAATGGAACTTGAATTTGTTTTGTCAAAAGGCCAAAATTTCAGGTGAGGTCTCTTCAGGCTCATTTCCGAGCCAGTTAACCTCAAGATGAATCTAGTTGTAGCGGCCTAACGCGGCCTCCTTTGCACAATTACACCACACAGAAGTCTGCGAGCTGCAATTTGCCGTGGTATCGTGAGTTAGATGTACCATAGACTTCTCTGTAATACAGTTCACGCATCTTCATCTGCAGAAGATGACAGGGTCAGACAAGTTCCATGTAGCTTAGTAGTACCCGTTAATGATGCGACGACTGCCTTCTGCTAGGAGCCCAGTTCACTTGGGAGCAGTTTAAGAAATCATAGTCACGTACGAACGACGAGGCCTGTCTTACGTTACTTGCCTCAGGTTTGGATTCTTTATAAGGAGTTGAGAATCAGTGAGGCCTAGAGAAGAAGCCAGCCTTTCCATGTTTTCAGAGATTCCCATCTTTGCAAAGGGTTCCCTGGAGTTTCCGAACCATTCTCCCTCGTCTGCCGGCTGTATGCGTGGAAATGTCTCACGCAGCATCTAGCACAGTGTCCTTGCGAACTGAGACGCCTCGAGAGTTCTCGTCCAACCCTACCCGCTCTACCTACAGGTTTTTCAAGAGAGAAAACAGGCACTCCCATTTTTAGTAGCCAGATTAGGTTATGTGAGGCAACACAGAATATGCCGTTGTTGGCATCTCTGCCATACTTGCTCACGTCCATCGTCTTCTGTGGTATCGTGGTCTAAAGAAATTAGAGGGGAAAAGTACTTTGCAGACCAACTCATTTTCGAGCTAAGACAGCCTAAGATCAGGGGGCAGTTCGAGATCGAGTCCATACATTATAAAGACAGACTTGCAGACGCAGATGGCGCAGACCTCAGCGAGTAGATGTTCATATTCGTGGGAGGGAAATAAATATAAGTTAAGTCACCGAGTAATTGGAAGAGAAATAAAGAAGAATAAACTACTAGGCCCAGTCAGCTTTCACGAAATACCCAGGTAAAGCACTTGAGACGAACGCCGGCGAAGCAGCAGAAGGGCCCTAATCAGCCTGCAATGAATTAGTTCTTGCACATTGTTTACACATAGTGGCCCTGCTCTTACGAAAAAAGTATTCTAATAGAATTGCCACACTCAAGTATACTTCCACCGCGTGATTTATATATATAGAAGGTGAAAAAGCTGATTGAGACTGGCGGGGCCCTTAATGCTTATACCTCCCAACGCTGTATCCCATTAATTTCCCTCACCACTTTTGTTTATAAACTGCTGATCCGAGGCTGGCTCCCAATATTCACCTAAAAGCAGACCAACGAGACTTGTAGTGCGAGTACCGAGACCTGGGCAAGCAATGCAAGACAGACAGCGCAGAGCTAAGGGCGCGAGGACATTTGCTGGTGTCGGGTGTCTGTCACTGCAACTGTTTAGCCCAAATTGACTCAACAGAGAAGGCACCGTCAACAAAGCGTTGTTCTTAGGGCCCATAAGTCTACAGTAAGGACAGCGCGGCCACCACCGGACGTGAAGGTCCAGGCCAGCCATCTAAAGGCTACCTGAAGCAAGTACCTACCTAGGAAAGTAAGTACATAGATACTAAAGTAGGTGGGTGCATATATTTGAGCTCCTTCCCAGAACTTAGAACATAACACAAGACTCGTCACAACACTCACATCTCTTCATCTTCATTTTCATCTCCTCTGATAATTCATTCATCCCTTTCAGGCCTGCCCCAGAATCTTCCTCCTTTGGGCATCCGTAACAACTCTAGACCAATATGTGCTCCCATTCGCTCTTCCTCCTCATCATGCTCGTCCTGCTCGTCCTGCTCGTCCTGCACGGAAGGCACCTGCTCTGGTCGGAACTCAAAATGATGCGAAGGGACAGACCAAGAGCCACGCGACAGTTGCCATCAGCCCATTCCAGCGCAAGCACCAGTGCACCAACCCATTCACACTCCCAGGTTCATACCTCCCCGCCCTCGTACGATAGTCTCTTTGGAGAAACAGACCTCGAAACCGTTCGCGCCCAGAATCCTCCAAAAACACCCCTGAATGCACCCATACCAACCGACTCGCCCATCGAGGAAGCTTACTTTGTTGCCGCCACTGCGCTCATTGACCTGTTCAGAACCAGCCAGGACGAGATGTACCCTTTGATGACCGTTGCACGTGCTGCCTAAGCCGTCTCCGTTGCTGCCTCTACCTCACAGGCCTAGCCTGCCTTGCTTGCTGCTGTGAACGCAGTGGAGCTCCTCTCTATGCTTGATTACGAGCATGACTGCGGCAGAATGCGACTTGAAATCGAAACAGAACGAAAAGGGCTGGTCAATTTGATTGATGCTGCTGTTCGCCAGTCCTTGGCTCAGGCGCCGCCTCCCAAGTTTTTCAATCCGCACCATGAACTGCAATCTGCTGGACGGGAGGAGGGTTAAAAAAGGCTGGCTGGTGGTAGTTTATTACTATGATATTTATATTCCACTTATAATAATCACAAGATTACAAGTAAATAGGAAATCAGCTTACATACTTCCTTTAAGCTCTTTAATAGCTTCGAACTTTCGCTCTTACCACCATGCCAACCAAGACTCAGACATCTTCTCTTCCGGCATCACCTTATTCCATATCATAATAGTAGGCCAAGCAACGTCTGCCACAATCTGCCTAACTAGGATATTAGGTAAGAAAGCGACGATAACGCTCAAGTCGTCCATCTCTAAGAAACTGTGTAAGTTATCAAGGACACAGATGCCAGCGCCCTCAAAGATAGCTCAATCCACGTCCATGTAAATAGGGTTCTAAGTATAGCACCCAATATCCGCATCCGTAGTGTAATTCTTCTTTTAAAGGATTTTCTTAATTTTAAGCATTAATGCATGTTATATAACGCTATGCTCATTAGCTTCATAGCTTAATACAGTGCAGTAAGCAAATGCAATTACTTTGGTAGTCTTGTTAGGGATTATACTAGCCGACAACGTAGCTATTATCCTCTTATACTCCTCACTTCCTTCCCAAGCCTTAACGCCAGCGTTAAAGGGCTCCTTAGCGGCCTCAAACGATAAGCCTCTGGGCTCCTTAAGAAAATTGTTTGTAGTCTTATCACGCTTGCATGCATAATAGAGTACACCCAAGGGGCAGTAAGCGAGCTTGGGAGAGAAGCAACGGCAGTCCATAATGACAGCGAGTAAGTGCTGGTACGGTTAGTAATCGATAATAAAATCGTCCCTTTCCGGGAATTCGTGATCAGCGAGTTTTCGGTTGCCGAAGTTGTTTGATACTCACATAACCTCTTCTATGGATTCTTCCTCCTCATCCGGCCAAGCCGTGCCAATTTCATTCTCGACCTGCACCGTCTTCCCGTCGAGCCCCTGCAGGGAAAACATCTAAACAGGGGCCTCACTCTCAGACGTATCTTCCTGTTCGTGACGTTTCCTTACCCTGTCAAGTTAGCGAGCCAAATCAGCGATGGCGTCTTTCGTGAAGAATAGGACGCCACTCGCGTAGAGCTTGCAGACTCGTTCAGCAGCCTGCCTCATTTCGGGCTTAATTTTCTTAGACTTAGGGTTTGGCATGTTATGATCATGATCTTGTGTCGTCTCGAATTCCGGGGTTGAATCCATGCTCCCAATTCTGCTTTGCTTTGCTTAGCAGATGAGATGAATATATAGCCTATTTGTATTCTTTGAATTCCTCTACTAATGAGATGAATATATAGAAATACAAATTAGAACGAGACTCCTGGGGAGAGAAGGGCTATGGCCGTGCTGATGGCCTGTCTGAAGAGTGAGCGTTGACCTGGCTGCCTCGGAATGCTGCGCCGTCTGTTTTTTAGGCCGCCTTCACGTGCTTACCTGCCACTCCACTACTGTTGGGTTGCATTCCGGGTCCGCCCTGGCTGCACCTGCGTTCCTACCAACGAGTCAATTAATGTTGTTTGCACTATGGCAGTCAGGAGGGCAAAGAATTCGGACGCCTTTGACGAAGCAACAAACCACTCTTCAATTGTCCGGAGGTCACATACATTGTATGCATTTCCTCGGCTACAAATAATTTTCGTGGCTGGTTGTGAGGAAGCCGCCCGTCAGTGCCTGCGAGGGAGAGATGACGGACGTGGATTCAACGCAATACCTAGGCAAGCATCCATCATCGTTACATGTAAGCATCTGGTGATGGTAATCAAAGGACAAATTCCGCTTCGCCTGAAACGCTGGGATTGTTTTAGATCTTGGATATTCGCACCGGCAAAACGGAGGGTAGACCCGTACAACATAAGCGAGGTAGAAAGAACTTCACCTAACCACAACCAACACCCACACCAATTCCCATAATACCCACTCCCATCATACCTACTCCCATAACACTGACTCTCACAATATCCAAGTACACTCACCATCACTCAAACAACACTCACACCCATACCCAACACCCACTACTACCTATGCCTACTACTACCGATGCCCACTACCTATACCCACTACCTACTACTAATAATACTATATAATACTCTCTAGTTGGTTAGAGCCATAACATGACGGGTCTACTGGTGTACCCTCCGGTTTTATTGATGTGAACATCTGATTTCTTGCTTTAATGCTGCCGGACCTCCAGGTATTTCTGTATCAATTGGTCCGGGATGTACCACGATTGCAACGGTAGCATGCGTCTGGGAGGTAGTACAAAAGAATTCATGAGTTTGCTCGCAATTTTATACCGTCTTCCTTGCAGAGACTTGAGAAAGGTCTAATTAGGCAAATTCATTTAGACCAGCAACATACGCACTACAAATTGTGAGAAAAGTTCAGCAGAAGCGGCACCAAACGGTGCTTATATAAAGGAAAGGTCTCGACGGCGAGAATGCTTCTCTATCATCTTGCGTTGGTTGAGCCATACGAAAACAAACTCTTATAGCCTGTAAGGGATTCTGTCAACTCGTAGGCTTATCCACAAGAGCCTCGGGCGTAGAAGAGTAAAATTGTTTTGGAAACTTCTCAGCACCTACTTCGTGCGCAAACACTTGGCCGGAACGTGTTTGATCTGCTCAAATCGCGTTCGCGTGCCCATAGCTCTAGCTCATCACAGAGGGTTGTAGAGGAATTTGTTTGAGTTCTAGAATCAGTCACGTGAATGACCTACCCAACCAGACGTATGGCGAGTGTCGTCGCTCGACCTCCAGATGCAAGACAAATTCTGAAGACACCAAGCCCTTCACCCCTGTAACGCCTTTCGTCGTTCCCCGCACGCCCTTTCGGCCGCTGACGTTGCTGTACCACCAGTGCTACCTTGGGACATGAGAAGGAAGAAGAAGCAATATGTCTAATCTGTACCATGGCATCGCTATTGCGGGTTAGCGCTTAGTGTTATCACTATTTGAGCCCGTGGTGGACCTCTAATGCGGGCAGAATCAACCGTTCTTTTTCATCCTTTCACCTGGGTTATTTATCTGACACCTGCATCCACATTCCACTGTTCCTTTAGTTTGGAACCATGCTCCAATACTGAACCAAATATGCAGACCAAACGTCACCTCATTTTCGCACTTGTAAATGCCAGACTAGTGCAAGCACTGTCTCTGAATATCACGGCGATCAGGGCCGCCAACATTGCCTCAACCCTAGAGTGCTAGCAGATAGACACCCTATTCAAGTCGGCAGCGATACCGGGCATCACCGAGAGCGCAACAGCAGTGATAGGAAGTACAGCTAACATTTTATATACCATACTGCCCACTGCATTCAACGGCAGCCTGCACAATGCCCCTCTCAACCAGTAAAACCATTTTGCTCCAGGCCTCACACCAAGCTTCATTGCCAGCCGTGTAAGAAGGACTTTGGACTGCACTGACTCTCACCAGATGGGTAGCGTTCATCTCAAGTCTAGCCTACATCACACTGCCAATAGACAACACTGCAAGTACATATATTGCCAGTAGCAAGTTCAGGCTAATATTCGCCGCCAATACCGCTGCAGTAAGCGCCCAAGGCTATAAAACGCAGTTCCCAGTATTACTAAGACAGTCGCCCTTGCTATCCTAATAAGCAATAGCTTAATACCAGGGTATACTATTCTACACAATAGGGCTTATACTACAGACAATATCAAAGGGCTTTAAGGGTTAGTGTTTAAGTTGTTTTAGTAGTTTATGAAATCTAACTCCCAACCTGGGAGTTCCCTCAATAGATTCAGCTTTCTCCATACTGAGCTTGATTTCATTAGTAAGCATTTATAGTCTAGTTCACACTCTAATTAAGGAATACACTTACTTCCTTCTATACCCTAGTAAATTCCTTCTATATTATCTGCTAAGTACTGCTATATATAATAGCACTATAAGGCTATTAGCATATTTAAGGTCTTTTAAAGTAGTAATGCTATAACAATTAACTAATAAGTATCCTCCTCTTTATCCTTAACAGCAACTACCTTACCCTTACTATTTGTCCACTTATAGCTAACTTTTTTATAATTAATCTTAAACACTAACTTACATCCTTAATAAAGGTGGAAAGGTTATAATCCTTCTTACTATTCTTATTCAATAAGTTAATATATAAAACCCTTTATTATTTTCAGCTAAGAAAGCGCAACTTCTTAAGGCTTAAGGTACCTACTTTATAGATTATACTAAAGACTAACTCAATATAGCAATTTAGCAACTCTAATAGCTAGGAATTAAGCCCTCCTAAGACCTTATAGCTGTACTTAAGGTTATAAACGTGCTACTTACAGGGCTTAATAGCAGGCCCTCTTCTACCCAAGATTGTCTTAACGCTATACTAAATGCGCTAAAACTCCACATTCTAAATCGCATGCATCAATATTACAATACTACAGTTAAGCTAGTAAAGTGGCATAAAGTCAGCAAATTCAGCATAAATAAACTATCCTGTAAGGATGAAAATTATAGGCTAGCAGACATCAATAATTTCATTATATAAAGGTAGTATGTCCACACTGGGGGCCACAGTGGCTAGAGCAGCCATTTTAGAGATTTTATTTATAGCGATTAGGTGGTTGGATGTCAATTTGCACGTTGAAGCATCAAAGAAAGTGGGCTTAGGGCAGGAAAGAGGTGAGAATGATGAGTATGATAAGGGTCCTCATCCATGTCATGCGGTTTTGTAAATGAGCCCTAGGGTTGCGTCGCAGGTTTGGATGGAGAGCTAAATGCAGGTGATCAGCAACATGCTTGGCGCTACACCGCATTGAGATGGTGGATGGCAGATCAGCTGAAGTACAAGCTACCTCGCGAAGCAAAGTTAAGGCGTATGCTAACACGGTTATACGCAGTCCCACTCGTACATCACATGCGCGTGGCTGCCTAAAATTGTGTGAGAGTATTGAGTGATCATCACATGTATCCACCATGTGCCGAAATACTTACTCTGTGGAAGAAGGAAGGAGGACCTGAGATAGGAATCGTGATCGACAATGCGTGCATACTATTCTCAAGGAATGGCTGGGCTGCTTGTGACTGACCCGGCCTAGGGCACCTGGGTATGCACCCATTTAGGATGTTGGATTGAGCTTGATAAGACGCTGCCATCAACGGAATGTGGGCGACATCAACACAGACTGAGGATGCTCAATTCTTCTCCATTGAGTCGTTCATAATTTGAGATTTTGTGGGCAAGTTCAGTATTTGACGCTCAATATCTTTAATATTGTTGTTGATACCTAGCTAGAGGCTCAACGTTATTTTTCTACCTGAACCCGACTAATACTATAGAGCCTCACGATTCTTGTACCATATCTTTATGTTCCTTGCATTCGAGAGTTATAAGTATTTCTGCTCCGTAGAATCTGGATTGGACGCTCATGACCGTCGCTGCGATCCGGTTCGTACAGAGACCTATGAGAGTAATGTGGTCCTTGTGTTCGAGATACTCTCACTTCTCATCCGGCCTCTTGTATTCTCCAGCTAGGTGTTCGCTGAAAAGCCAGGCTGACCAATACCAGATCGTCGGCGGAGCCTTACTTTCCTGACGGCCCGTCATCTCTGTGCGTACCTGGGCGATAATTGCCCAGTGAGTAGTTTTCTCCATATTTCTCGCTCTTGGTTGGGTCGTGGTATGCAACATCAAATTTGCTTCTGTCGCTATTGTTGTATATTCCCCTTACAGCGCCTTCGGAGTTGCGCACATTGGGATTATAGTTAGGTTTATCGGTCACGATTGGGTAGCCCTTCTACGGGCTCTTCGCTTGCAGAGGCAGTTTCTCTCTGTTCGCGATCGTTTCCGGGTAGTCGCTAAGCTTCCCCCTCTTCCCGCCTCCCACGGGTGCAACCTTGGGCCTCTTATTAGGGGCTTCGGCGACCTGGCGCCTCGCAGACGCGGTATTTACCACCCTACCCGGGTGGCTCGGATCCAAGTTGGAATTGGAGTACTGGAAGCCGTGTTAGACAGATCGACGTGAAGTGGGATCTCCAGAGCTTACATAGGAGTCCTTAGACTCTTTGGAATCTCCAGACTGGTTAGAGGCCTTGGACTTCCCGGACGTGTTAGAAATTTGAGACTTCTTAGAGCTATTAGAAGCTGCAGACTTCTTGGAGCTGCTAGAGCTTCCGGACTTGGTGGAATCGCGGGATGGAGGGCGGTTAGGGTCAGACATGTTTTCACAATTTCAGGGAAGTTTGCCGACTTTTCGAGATATTAAACAAAGATTGTGAGGTAGTTGTTGAATGTTTGCAGGTTATTGGTTGACGTCTTGGATATAATTGAGACCAGAACTTATGAGCATTACTTTCTGTTCAGTTGTTTTATATATTATCTACCTTTACTATATGGAATAACGACGGTTGGTATGAAGCTGTTGGGCCAGTGTGGCCCGATCGAAGAGAACCAGTATTACGGCCATCAAGGCCACTGTGGAGTGGCTGGACATGTGAAACTACTAAGACAGAGTAACTAATCAACTAAAGTCTGCGCCGCAGCCTTGAGCTATAATTGACCGAGGGTGGTGTTCAAGGACCATTTCCGTTGTTGGCGGCCACAGTGAATCCGTGGTCGGACGGTCAGAGGCCATCAGGACCTTATATGGCGGTCACGCCACTCGTGAAACAAATCTGGGAGCTCTGAATCAGTCCCTGTTGGTTTGGGGTGATGGCAGAACGTTGGTAGGCGGCGCTGGAGGTTGGTAAGGCTGTATTGTTGGACGCTTAGAGGACTGGCTAGGGATTCTAGTGCCAACGACTGTTTGGGTTTGGACCAACACATCAACTCTGCCCAATCAGATTTATGACTGGTGCGAAGGATTGGGTTACCAGTGTAGGTATTAGCTGGGAACCTTGGTTGGGTCGGCTTCTAACCCTGCCCTAATGGGCTCCATGTCAGACCGGCCAGATTGGTGAGAAAACTGGGCACTAATAAATTTAGAACACTGTATGACCCCCGCACCAACAGGTCGCCGCACTTGGGATAAATATCTCTCGAACGATACCTGTATGCCCTTTGACTCGACAGTTCTTTAGCTCGCTGTTACCTTTGAACCCCCCTTTTTCACTCACCATGGCACACCCTATCCGAAAATTGACTCAGACCGGCTATCCTTACGATCAACCAGACCTAGAGACAGTTAGAGAGAACCTTCCAATCTTTATTACCGACGAGCCCGAACAAATTGTTGACGCCTTCGAAACCGGCCTGGAATCTCTATCTCAGCCATCCTCGACAGCGATAGTGCAGGAGACGGCACAAACACTGGTTGCCGAAATTAAAAGAATCTTGTCCCCTGCGGCGGACGAGAATGAGCGAACATTTTTCCTGGAGAGGTTATCCTCGCTCTTGATGCGCATCGCGCGGTCAGTTCCAAGTCGACATATTGGCCAGGAACTGCTTGTCGAGACTGTCAAGTTGATTAAATCCTCCCCGGAGGAGACATGGCGTGATGGATGGCTAAGCGCACTGGGGATGAAAATGCGGGACCATTGGAGTGGTAAGTTATCAGTACAACCAGGGTCTTGATCATTCCTGAACCACAGGTCTTTCGTTAACACACACGTAATTACAGGGTTCAAGTTGGAAGACGGGCAAGACGAAGATGACGTCCAGACCCCCGATGAGTGGCTCAACCTTAATTCCTACAGTGCTCGTTTGTTAGGATCTGGGGTAACACGATGGTACAACTTTGCTATATGGGAGCTGAGAGAAGGCCTGGAAACGAAGCTGGGGCCCGACTCACACGAAAACGACTGCAAGATCGCCGTGGCTAGCGAGTGGATCATTCAAGCCGGGCCGAAGCTTCTTCGAGAGACCCTACTAAATGAAGATATTAGTGAGGCAGAGAAGACGGCTCTCGTTGGACATGAGTTGTGGACTGGTATGCCAGGGCTGAGCACTGAGAGATGGGGATTTTGGAAGCGTCGTCTTGCTGAACTCAAGCCGAGTGTCAAAACCCAGCCTGCATTAGATTATTTGGAGCACGCACAGCGGGTGATGACGGCTGTTGAGAAAGACTTGGCTTCATCGATATCATGAGGTATGGGGAGAAACGGCTGGCTTGAAGGGGGCCTTATACACAGCTTCAGCTACTGAGAACTGAATACTGTATAACAAGCACAAAGTAGTCACTTTCGTGAGTCACCAGCACTGCTTTGCTATTGTATCCAGAGATACTTGCGCATTGTGAAGAGGATATCTTTTTCTTACACCCAGGCACACGGGTCAAAAGGATGAAAACAAGGAATACACATCACCTGGCATCATTTTCGCTCAGTATTTCACTCCATTCCAAATGTAGCTATCACCAAAATGCACTGTATTAATGCCGCCTTTGTGTGTGTGCTCCGTCAAGACACTACTCATTATTGCATCTTCGGCGCTGTGGTTCTCCAAGCTCCACGTACGAGAGGTTCTGCTTTAAATGAGAGCTAGAGGAGTAAATCCGTGAGGGCAATGAAAGTAGTGTAACAGTACACGATCATACCTGTTAACTATAAAACTGGCATTCGCTAATGGTTTTTCTTTTCTGTTTGAGCCTAAATCGTCTATGAACATTTATGCTGTCTGCACCCTGTGAAAACATATCGTGCCCAGGCGAACTTATCCCCTTAAGCAAAGCATATCTGCTTCATACGCTAAGTGTCGCTCGTCATTATCGAAGTGGCGTGTGCCGTCTTCCCAGTACTCATAGCAGTTTTGAATGCCTGTTGGCCTATTTCATCGTGAACAAAGTCAACCCACATCACCGATTTCAGAACTTGTCGCATCTCCGGCCATGTGCTCATCCGAGTAGCCGAGATGGCATTCTGAAGCCAAGTGTGGCTCCAATCGCCAGCATTTTGAAACCCTTTGGTTATCATGTAGAAGACCATGTTAAGCCACAGTATAAGACACGGCGGGAGTTTCTTGACACTCGCAGAATGATATATCTCAAGCATCAATAAAGTTGTTTATAAAGTAAAAGTAATTATTAAATATTAATTTAAAAAGCATTTTTAGTGATAAAAGCATTATAGCAACTTTTATTTAAATTCAGCAACTTTACTTATTTTAAAAACCTTTACATAAATTTGGAAAATTTAAATATTTAAATTATTTAAGTATTTAGTTTAAACATATAAGTAATTACTTTAATTATTAAAGTTTTAAATTTAAATTGTATAAATATTAGTTTTTAAAAGGGTTTTTAATATTTATAAGCATTTATAATTACTTAATAAAAACTATTAGTATATAAATATTAGTATTAGTATTTATAGCTACTTAATTAGTTTATTAGGGCTTATAGTTATAAGTAGGCTTTAAAAAAATACAGCTTTTAGCTGCTTTTTAAAACCTAGTAAGCAACCAATACCTAAATAAATACTAACATCCCAAACCACGCATCGTATTCAAATATATAACCCAGCCAACAGTTCTAGAATATGCTGGAATTGGAAGGCGGAGTGGAATTGTAAAAAGAGAAGAATAAATTTTATAGATTTCAAGGCCACAGCTTTGAAGTATGAGCAAGGAGTCTTGTGGAAACGCAAAATATGACGAAGAGGTAGAATTGTAGCCACGCACGCATGGTTACGCACACTAAAGGCATCACAGATTCTAGGACTGACCAGGAAAGTTTTTATGTTGGATTTCCAATTTCGAAGGCTCTATGGAGCAATTAGAACAGGGTGTTTGGAGACTACGAATTGATGGAGCGACGCATTATCAAGTGACGGGTCATTCCATGAGATCGGGTACTAAGACACCCAGATACGTGTGGAATTCTTTAGGCCACACACACACCACACACTTACACCACACACACACACACCACATACACACACCACATACACACCACACTGACTTTTCTTTTGAAAAAAGAAAAGAAAAAGAAAGAGACTACCACCACCACCACCAACAATAACAACAACAATATGGCGGTGGCTGCGGCCACTATGATGACGACCAGGCTGGCGGCGGCGGCGACGACGACGGAGACAGTGACGGTGACGGTGGTGGTTGAAAGGCGGAGACGGCGGAGGGTGCTGGGGCACCACCATTATAATGGGGATGGTGGTGATGGCCCTTCTCTTGCTGGGGTGGCTCCGCCTCCAGGCTGCTTGCTGTAGTAGTAAATAGGAGGAGGAGCAGCAGGAGGAGCAGCAGCAGGAGGAGCAGGAGGAGGAGGAGGGGGAGGAGCAACAGCAGCCCAATGGGCTGGTTTTGAAGACTTTGGCGATGGTAGCGGTGGCGGCGAGGTGTGTGGGTTGGGATTGGTGAATAAACAGTATTCCTGGATATACTGGTATATGTATGATTATAAATTGAGAATAAGACAACTGTTGAGAGCCACCGATAGGCGACTTGGATTAGACTGATATGGTGCACGTCCCGACAGCCCCTATACTAACTGACACAGACACGAAAATGATTTACGCGTTGGACGACTTTCCACTTATAACGTGGGTCTACCCGATTCTGCCACCCCTCCGATTCCGCTATACTTAATGCCCACTGCTTGCGACTATTCCCACCCTCTTTAATTGCTTACTACGATATAAGAACCCTTGTTTATTAGTGTTTCTGATTCTTCTAATTTGTTACTTTTTTTTAATACTGCTTTAGCTTTAATTTAAACCCTTTTAATTGCTTTAATATCTGTAAAAATCTTATTAAGGTTAAATTAAACCTTTTTCCTTATAACTTTTCTAATAGTTTTAAATTAGCTTATTAATTTCTCTATTTTTTATAAAAATATTACTAATTATATATCTTTCTTATTCTACACTTTAAGAATTTTTTTAAATAAGTAGCGTTATATAGGGCTTAAATATTTTTTATAAGCATAACGGGCTACTAATATCCTTATCTCCTGCAATTTTTTAAAGGTTGTAAATTTAAGCTATAATAGCTAAAAAATAAATATAGGTATATAAAATTAACTACTAAGGCTTATTATAGTATTAAATTTCAATAATTTGCCCTAATTTTAATAGTTTTTAAAAATAAAGTAACTTTTAAATACTTTTAACTATAATACTTTTTATAAACCTGCTATTTTTTACTTAAACTATATATTTACTATAATAAAAGCTTTATTTTAAGCTTTATAATAGTAAAAAAAAAACCTTTTTTTTACTATTATTATAAATATATTAAATTACTTTAAAAAGTAAAGGTTTTAGTAAAAAGCTTACTTAAGTAGCTTAAAAACCCTTATATTTGTCACGAACGTGACAGGAATAGAACCAGGGGAGCACTGTTGGTCCCCTGAAGGCGCAGATAAACCCCA